TCACATCGGATTGAAATTTGTTTGGTGTGGAAATCCTTCACAGAAAACCCAAAAGAGTCAAACTCAATAGAAGAATTATTTTCATGAACAAAACGACGAACAAAAATCAGATTTTAATAATATAAGGCGTAATTAAAACCTTTCGAAGGGTTAAGGCGCGGTAAGGATTGGGAAGCGGAAGAGTAGCGTGTCCCATTTTTGTTACATGTATTAAGGATCCATCACCAACTAAGACAGATGAAGAAAAATTATTGGACTTATCTGAAACAGACTTAAGTATACCTGGATTCGAGTGAAGATGCGAGGTGGCACCAGTGTCCATGTACCAATCATTTTGCCCCGGGTCATTCAACATCATGGTGTTAAACATTTGCGGAAGAGTAGTGGGCTCCGGACTTTGAGTTTGAACTGAATAGGCCTACTGTTGAGAAATTGAGTGTTGGGCCGACGAGAACAATTGATGTTGCTACTGATTTATGGTATGATGGGTTGGTTTTGATCTTGGCACACTTGTGTGAAGCTGATGGTCATTTGGGCTTGGCGACAGTCCATGAGAATTGAGTCTGGTGTTAAGTTGAGGAGTGTAGGCCCAGACCCAAGCACCTTGACGCATGCGCTGATTATCGAAGATCGAAATGTTGTCACCTGATGCTAGATTTGAACCACCATTATTATGATACCCACCACCATTGCTTCTCCCATCGTAGCGTCCTCCTCCCCGACCACCATGGCGACCATTACGACCCCCACGGTAGCCTCCTCTGGCACCGGTGTTGTTCTAATGCCATGAAGGTGAGTTGTTTGTGGGGATCTGCACAGTAAGGGCATGGGGAGACGATGAATTGTCGGCATGAGTGATGAGGGAGTCACATTTTTCATCTTGCATCATAAATTGTTCTTCACATAATAGAATGGATCTAGCATCCCAGAAAAATAGAGGTGGGTCTCGATGTCGAATGTTAATTGCAATGAACCGGAACTTTGAAGAAAATCCATTAATCATGTATGCGACAAGGTTAGTTTTAGAAACTTTGGCATCCATGTGTTCTAATAGATCAGCGATAGATTTCATTTTGTTTCAGTAGTCTGTGATGGAAGAGTTACCAAGAGAGTTGTTTCTGAGTTCTCGATCTAACTGAATGATCTTAGATGCTTTGTTATCACGAAAAACCTTTTCAAGATTTTCCTAAACTTCATACGTTGTGCCTGCTTCTTAAAAATCATGTTGAGAAGAGGTATAGAGAGAGTGTTGTATAACCATGATCTCACGATGGAGTCCACAGGAAGCCAAGTGGTCTTCGCAGTAGCAGATTTTTCAGTAGCTTGTTCTTTATCTTTGTCGCTTGATGTAGTAACATAATGTTGGAGATGATCATCTACGCCATACCCAATGTAGTGAATTCAAATAACTCTCTTCAAATATCATAATTCATCTTATCCAAGTCCAGAACAAAGGGGGCTGCATGCTTGATATTGATTGTAGATGAGGGCTTGTCATTCATGGGAAGAGACATGATGAGAGGTAGCAGAGAAAATGACAGATAGAAGAAGAATGGTGATGAGAGATCGTACAATCGACACGGAAGATAATGTCGACTTAGGGTTGAAGGGTAATTAGGCTATGGTGCTCTAATACCATGTAATTGATAGTATTTTACCGTAAACGATCTCTCATTCAATTAATCAATATATATACAATGAGTACAAAGGTATAGAAAACGGGCCACATCACACATGGGTCGGCCATAACAAAGATGCATATACAAACTAATAAGGCTACGCTAACGAACAACAATGCTTAAATGTCCAAAAATAATAAGGTCGAAGGGAGTCGTGCCTTGAGTGCCGAACTCCACATCAGTTCCAACAAGGAAGAAAGGGGGTAGAAAGGAAGAAGAATAAGAGGGAGAGTGGGCAGACGAGTGAGGAAAAAGAGAGGGAGATTGTAATGGTGAGAGGAGAGAGACTCAATACATACCTGCCAAGTTCATGACATGGTGTTTGCGCGCCGAGTACAGCTCGGATTTGTCGAGTCCTGACCAAGGTCGCTCTGTGTAACCTAATAACACATTAGTAAAGGTTGTTAATTCATCACTCATTTTGATGAATTTATCTTCACGGAATCTAACAATCCATCGTGAAATTTATCAAAATTAGTGGTTGACTAACGACGACCTTTAATGATTTTTTTGAGATTTGAAAATTCTTGCTTTCATTCCATATTTCATACCGCGTAACCATTTACAAGGTTTTTCTTTATTTTACCAATCTATACATATTTCACACTTATTTTGCCAATTTATACACATTCCGCGATCAGATACAAAACTTCTGAATATTATTATGTGTAAAATATGCAAACTTCCGATAAAACACGGTGTGTTGGATATCATTTATAGTGTGTGATTTCTAGAGTTACAAGGTTAATTAGGGTAGTGTTCGATTGCTATGTGTAAAAATATTTTTATTTGGGTACGAGTTGTTGATGAAATTTTATACCAAACCACACATTTTGTCATAACATTAACGGAGGTAATTAAATATGTGGAATCTACTAATTTTTGTTCTCATAATTAACTCTTTTGATTTTGATAATCGCTTTATCTACGCAGAAATATGGATAAAAACTAAAAATTTAAAATTTTAAAAAAAAAAAAGATAGGAGGTCTTAAAGATAAAATATAAGTAATAATAAAAGAGGTCACAGCTTATGTAGCATATATATATAAGCCAATATATTTGATTTTTTCCACTTTATTTTACATTACATAATCGATTCTAATACATGACGCATGTTTTTGAAAATCAAGTGTACTACAGGTTACAGGTAAACCGAATACAATCCCAAAGATTCATGGCTGATTAGCATTGTCGAAGGAGTTTCTTCTAGCACTTTTTGAGAATTGTCTTGTCAGCAACTATGAAATATGCAGCTCCGGCCACTGTAATTTTATAACATATATATACAAATTCTTAGTTGCATATATATATCATGCACAAAGACAAAACAAAGATCTTTGAAAAGGGTAGGATTAATGTACTTGTGGACACGATGAGAGCTTGGGCTGTGTGGTTAAGATGAGCCTTTGCCCATGGCACCATTCTTGCACTTGCCATCTGAAACATATATACGCATGTATATATTATACTCAGTCATTTGGCTTATGTTAAAAAGATGAAACACTTAATTATGGAAACAAGTAAAGACGAGAGAGAAGGAGACTAACAGTTGGAATAGCAGTAGCAATGGTGGCTAACACAGCTGCTTTAGCTCCTGCAACTACTCCCTCTGTACATACAAACCACAAATCAAAAGAAACAAAACTTTAGAGAGAGAGAGAGAGAGAGAGAGAGAGAGAGAGAGAGAGAGATTATGAGGATTACCATGAGAGCAGGTCTTGGCCATGGCTAGCTTTTGGTCAACTGAAGGCATTATGCGATGAATATTGCACAATTGTTAGAAGAAGATGAGATGATGATGATTATTCTTTGTTTGTTGTTGCAGAATATGAAGTGGGATTGAAGATTTGGATAATGAGAGTAGAGTATTTATAGGGATTTAACTAAAAGTGGTGTGTGAGACAAACTCAGGTGGTGTTGGGTTCATGTTTCAAGGTTCAAGATTAGGCTTTGATGGTTTTGCTTCATGTCACCTGTTTGGAGTCAGTTGTTTTACTTTTATGTATCTTCGTACAAATGGTAATTTATATATACCCATGTGCCTGTGTGTGCGCGTGAGAAAAGTTTTGCTAAAGGTTTTTATTATATTTATATTTAAAGTAAATTGAGAGTCTTTAAAATGAAAAATAATAAAGAAACGGTGATACTAAAAAACAACTCTCTCTTGAAGTAAATTTATCTTTTTTAACTGTTTACCTTTCAAATAGTTTAATTTTGTACAATTTATTTTTAAAACATTTTTACTTACACAATTCAAGGTTTTTTTTTTTTTAATACTTTATACTTTATACTTTTTCTGCTTTTTTTAATTTTTGTATAATTTTTCACTTACTTTTTTTAAGCTTTTTCTGAATTTCTTGTAATGTTTTAATCTTTTTACTTATATTTTTGTGTTTAACATATTCTTAAAACTTATTTTTTACAAAATAATATTCTAAGTTGTAAAAAAAGATACGGATTTTGATGATCCCATGTTTCAAAAGCCGATTTGGGATTAACATATATATATATATATATATATATTATAATATATATATATATATATATATATATATATATATATATATATATATATATATATATATATGGAAAAGTTCAATAGAGAACCAATATGGATCAAAGAACCAAGGAACCCATATTAACCATCTATTTTCTTTTAATCTTGGCCATTAATCCTTAATTAACCAAAAAAAACACGGAGGGGCATTTTGGTAAGTTCAGCGTCTAATCTAATGTTGCTGTTTGTCTCCGTTAGCGTCTTCTGTCACTGTCCTTCATCGATCGATCCAAAATCTCGGCTGTTCTTCGAAATCAACCTTTTTCATCCAATTTACTAATAGTTTCTTCAGATTTCAGCTAATAATCAGGTATTTTTAATATCTATTCATCTTTCGTTTATGATTATTAGGGCAATTCCGATGCATTGTTTATCAACTTATTTTTATTGTTATTGTAATCGTCTATTGTCAAATTCTGTTGATTTTACCGTTTAATCTTCAAATTGTTATGTTTTTATTGTTAATTTGCTATTTTTATGTCGTATGCTGAATTTGCGTTTGATGTTACTGTTTTTCGTTCGACCGTTTTTGTAATCATTCGTCTGTAATGCATATTCGACATTTAGATAATCAATTATATCTTGTGCATCTTCTGACATTTAAGTTTTTTCCAAACTTTTAGTGATTTTGAGAATCTTATCTTATCTTGTGCATATATTTTAAAGTTTGGTGATTATCTTGTTTATTTGTTTCCTTTTTTGTATAATTATCAATTCTAAATTTCTAATCTATATATAAACTCCAGGTTACCGACGATTCATTATGAGTTCTTTGAATTCTTGTTCAGATTTGCATTCAACTATTAATGAACAATCACGTAAGTTTTTTTTTTCTTAATATAAATTTCACATTTTCTATATAATGTAATAAAATATATGTTTTTTTTTTGCAGTTCATGATCAGTCATCTTCAAATATGAATATTGATCATTCAAATAACAGTAATTCTTGTTCAGATTTGCATTCAATTATTAATGAACAATCACGTAAGTTTTTTTTCTTAATATAAATTTCACATTTTATATATAATGTAATGAAATAGATGTTTTGTTTGGTTTTGCAGTTCATGATCAATCATCTTCAAGTATGAATATTGATCATTCAAATAGCAGTAATTCTCGTTATAGTTTTGATTTTGAGCTCTACAATGCTGAAAGTTTTAAGCTTGTTCCTTATGATAAGTTGATACATAAGAAGCCTTTCAAAGGATTGATGTTTGATCATTGGACATTGGTCTTGACTTTTACAAGACTTATGGTCAAGAATGTGGTTTTGATGTGAATATGTCAAGTCAAAAAAGATACAGTGATGGCACAATTCGTATTAGATATTCGACATGTAGTAGATCTGGTTTCACGGAGTCATTCAAGAATGAAAATGTTAATGTGAAATTTTCAGATGTTAAGAGAAGGAGAACTTCTTCTAAGAAGAACGGATGCCCTGCTGTTTCAAAGTTCAAAAATCTCCGATGTTCTTTAATGTTCTACATTTATGTGTTTGTTGAAGATCACAACCATGAACTTGTTGCTCAAGATCAGTTGCACTTATTAAGGATTAATAGGACAATGGATTTTCTTGATGAATCCTTTATACATAAGGTCGGTACTTGTAACATTGGTGCTTCAAAAGCTTATAACTTGGTGAGTAGTATGAAGGGTGGCATTGATTCTAGGGGAGGGACTGCAGTTGACTTTAAAAATTTTCATAGAGATTTGAATTGTAAAATTGGTGTCAAAGATTCCCAAATCGTTGTGAATATATTGACAAACAGAAAATTATGTTTCTCTAATTTTTCATTTGAGGTTCAAAAAGATGTTGATGATCATCTTACTGGACTTTTTTGGGCTGATGATACTTCGAAAGCCAACTATAAGGAATTTGGAGATGTACTATCTTTTGATGCTACTTATCAAACAAACAAGTAATTCCTAATCCTTATTTGTTCTTTTTATGGTATTTGTTCTTTTTAATAATACCTATCAAAAAAAAATTCAGGTATTCTATGGTATTTGTTCTTTTTACTGGAGTTGACTACCATAAGCGTTGTGTTACTTTTGCTGCTGGTTTACTAGCTCGTGAGACAGCAGATGCATATGTGTGGTTGCTTGAAGTGTTTCGTAAAGCATTTGTCAAGCCTCCCATGATGATTGTAACAGATCAGGATTCATTAATGAAGAAAGCTGTTAATTTTGTTTTTCCTGAATCGAAGCATAGACTATGCATGTGGCACATCACTCAAAAACTTGAGGAAAATGTATATTTTTTGTTTCTTGATTCCTATATATGTTTATAACCATATAGATCATAAAGCATATAGTGAATTCACAATGTAAATTTTCATATGAAGAAAGGAACAAATCTAAATCATAAATCACACTGTGAATTCATAATGTGAACCAAATGTTATGTTAATATGAATTACATCAAATATTCAACATATGTAATGATTCTTATGTGTTTCTTTTTTTTTTAGATTCCTATCGATGTTTATAACCATCCGGACTTCCAGAAGACATTTTTTGATATTATATGGAATCTTCAATCTTCTCCACAAGATTTTGAAAGTTCGTGGTCAACAATGTTAAATAAGTTTCATCTAAAAGAAAATGATTGGTTAAGGTCTGTTTTTAAAATAAGGGATTTATGGATTCCTGCTTTTATGAGAGATCTTGAACTTTCTGGTTTGATGCGAACTACTTCAAGATCAGAGAGTCTGAATAATGCTTCCTCACATTTTTTGCATCATAAATCAAATTTGGTGAAGTTCATGATGTCGTTTGATAGTGCAATGGAGAAGCAAAGGCATCATCAATCTTTATTAGATTATCAGTCCACAACTACTACCCCCAAGCTAAGGACTCCTTTGGCTATTGAAAAGCATGCATCGGAAATTTATACACATAATATTTTCTTGGACATTCAGAAAGAGTTATATAAATCCGTGTTTTATTGTGTTCAAGAATCTGTAGTTATTGAAGATGAAAGTGAAGTTTATGTTTTGAGAGATAAGAAAAAAAAAAGTTGATTGATAAAAATGTGAATGAGGATGAAGAATCTGATGACTTTTATCGAAATAGTCTTCCTTCTCATTGTCCTAATACTCGTTACAAGGTATGTCTCTTTGTCCTAATACAGTTTATTAAATATAAAATGTAGTTCAAAATTCACACTATGAATGTAGGATGTTTTGCTAATTAATAGTGTGAATTTTTATAGAGTTATAAATTGGTTTGTACTTTTCATTAGATTAGTATGGAATATGTTTTTTTTTTGTGAATTTGATTTGAAGTACATATTTATATTATAGTATTATGATTTCTAATGTCATGTTGATTAATAATGTGAATTGATGTTAATTTGTATAATTTTTATCGAATGGTATGAGATAGAATTTCTTATTCACATATTAATTTGTTTATTAATGATAATTTTGTAGGTTGTATTTAGTAGAAGGGGTGATAGCATTAGCATCAGTTGTAGCTGCATGCTTTTTGTCCAGGAAGGATTGTTATGTCGTCATATGTTTTTCATATTAAATATGAAAGAGTATGATGAAATTCCATCAAATTTCATTTTGAGGAGATGGGGAAAAGATATCATAGCTGATGGATTGTTGAGAAAAAAGTACTCATATCCTCATAAAGGCAGTAAAAATGAATGTTTGATTCAAGATGCATATGCTATTCTTCGTTTGTCCATTAACAAGATAGCAAATAATGAGGATGAGTTGGCTAAATATATAAAGCAACTTCAGGAGGTTGATAGTGGTATTCCTTTATGTACCTCATCAAGGGCATCTTCGAGTAGATCAGTTCACATTGAAAAAATTATTGGAGCTGCAGTACCTGATGTTATCAACATTCATAATCCAGAGGGGATCAGAAACAAGGGATGGGCCAGTGGTAAAAGAATCAAGAGCACTAGAGAGAAAGTGATTGAGAAATCTAAAAAGGGTACTAGGTTGTGCAGTTTATGTCATAAACCAAATCACAATGCTAAGAGTTGCATTTTGAGGTTTAAGAAGTCTGATTTAGAATCTGAGGTTACAGAAGGCTGATTGTTTCTAATTTTTCTTTTTAAGACGACTAAAATAAGATTTGATTTTTGTAATGATCATTCAATGGATAGAAATGTTGAAATATTGATGTTAATTTTGATATGCATTGTTTTAGAGTTTATTTCTAATAATAGAATATATTTTTTTCAAATTTATTGTTTTTGGTTAAAGATATTTTTTTATTGTTAGTTTTTTGAATATTTTCTAATAAAAAGTTCATGCTAATGATTTAATTTATATATATTAATTATAATTGATAATCTCATATATAAAATTTTCATGTTAAATATTGTCTTAATGTAATTTAATTCACATTGTGAATCTCAATATTAATTGTTTTAATGATCTATATGTACCATAATTCACATTGTGAACCTCACATATAAAATATACATGTTATAATATGTATTGTAATTCACATAATTAATCTTACATATAAAATTTTCACAAGGTTAACATATAAACAATGTAAATTTTCTACATATATTGTATTGTTATTACATTAACATTTAATCATTTAGACCAAAAGAAATGAAGTAAATGTATGAAATGACAATGTACTTTCAATTCTTTATTCAGAGTAGAAATATAATCACTTCCCCCCACCCACACACCAATATCATATTTTTAATAAAACATGTAATTGTATAACATACATGTAGACATTCACATGAAAATATAAACATCTTTTAAGTATTTAGTAAATTTCATTATATTTGATATAGAAACTAACATCAAATTGTAACATAACAAGCATGTATATGTTCTTAAAGAAATTAAAGTGCATCTAAACTTATACTAATAATGAATAGAAAACTAAGTTTTAAGTTTTATACTTCTTTTTCCAATCCTTGAAGTACTATATCCTTTATCCCCTTTTTTCCCATCCCTTGTCGAGCAAATCTTTTATTTCTTCATTAGTCTTTTTTGCAAACTTAGCTGTTTATGCAATGATTTTTGACATGTGTGTGTTTGCGTCACTCAATAGTATCTTTGTCAAATACTTAATGCGTAAATCGTTTAACACACTTTGTTGTTGTTTTGATTCTTTTGGCAATCCACATGTCCAATTTACTATTTTATCTCCCATATATGTCTCCATATGACGCATGCAAAAAACTCCACAGTCAACATGATTATCCCTCGTGCGCCAATTCATGTTCACCCTTTCTGGTTCAACACCCTCCAAAGTTAAAGCTGATTTGTGATTGACCCTCATCAAGTACCTACTAAAAAGTATTTTCTGCAAAAAAGAAATTGTCATTTTCTATAGTTATTATTTTATTTAGATTATCAGTCTATTAATACTTATATTTATAATGTAAATTTAATATTCTTACCAATTCATTAGGTGCATCACGATAAGCTCTAGAAAACTTTGCAACTGAATTCCTATTGTCAATGACATCAACCGCTGGTTCCTCTAAGTTTATGCAGATGATGTAAAAGTGATTTTTTTGATGAACTGGTAAAAACACCTGTTTAATAATTTAAATTGTTAAACTTTGTTAAAAATATGTAATATATTCAACAAAAAGAACAGTTTATTACCAAGTGAACTTTTTCAAATGGCAGAAGTTCTTTGTCCTTTTTCATTGCATCTTTGATATTTGACTCAAATTTATCAAATCTTTGATTGAAAGGGATATTTTTGTCAAATATGAACTGTCTCTGCAAAAAAATTTAAATATACATCAATCTTTAAAGAGTAAATTGTTAAATTCACAATAAGTTAAATTTTATATTTAAAATTATTCACACTGTGAATTATAATGGGATTCACTGTGTGAATTTTATTACTTATTCAGAACTATTGAAAATTATATTTATTATATTATCAACATTATCATGATATATATTTTTTTAATTAACTTACCACAATTGATGTATCAAAGAAATACCGATTCAGTGTAGAATTTGATTTAAGTTTTTCTTCATAGTTCAAAATATCAGTCCAAGCATCAATGACATGTGCATGTACCCATAATCATGCCTGCATTGTTTCAATCATTCCTCTTCCAAGCACATACCCTCTCTTAGTCTGAAATACCTTCTCACTTAATTTGTAATCAAATAAAACAAAAAAGCAGTTAATAGAAAATTAATTTGTATTTGTATTTTATATAATATTGTATTTAAATAAAAGATAACATGAATTATTACCTGCTATTACCAATTCTGAAAAAAATTCTATCTGATACTTTTACTTCATCTGGATCTACAAATTTTGATGCACACACCTGTTTTTTATTATAAGGAGAAGATAGCTTGGTTTTTTTAATCTTTTTTCTACTTCTCTTTTTTTGTCTTCATCATCTTCAATTCCCAAGATATTATTGTCACATTCTGTTTCTTCTGAATCATAACTTTCTCCTTCATCAAGTTTTTCATCTTTTATTTCTTTCTTCATGTGTTCATCTTCACTGCTTTCATCTCCTTCATGAAACTCTTGTGTTAGACCAAGACCAAGTCCAAGTGAAAAACTAGGCATTGATGATTTTCTAGTATTTTTTTTCTTTTTTTTATCATCTATTTTTTGTTCTCTAAAACTTTTTACATTTTCAAAATCATCATAATTCTCAAAATTTAAAATACATTGAATAGAATCAGCAATCTCATGCACTATTGGATCATTGTACAAATTTCCTGGTGTTACCATGATTGTTTGATTCTTTATTTCATGTTCATTCAAATTCTCTTCGCTTTTTTTTTCATCTTCATCCCTGTCACCTTTTGCATCATCTTCATTTTGAGTTTTATAAATGAATTCTTGTTCAAAGACTTTCTTCATATCTTTCAACTCATCGCTTTCTGTGAATTTTGTTGTTGAAAACTCAATTAACTTTCCAAACTTCATTTTATCATTCACTAGTTTTTTGTAATCATTTTTCGCTTTGAATACCAATTCCTGCGAAATGAGATAAAAAATGTCAAAGAAAATGATTTTTTTTAACTTTTTTCTATAATAAATTACAGTTTCAGAATATGAATGCATTGATGAGGTATCACATTTTTAATGCATTTTAATAAATTACATATTCACTTTGTGAATTTATTATAGAGAAAGTAATAAAATACACTTTTATATTCACAATGTGAATCACTTTATGAATTTCATTTTAACTACAATTTTATAACATATATCTGTAATTTAACTTCAATTTTTTTAATTATATAGATTATTAACTTACATCGAGTTTCATATCTTCATTTTCATCGGTGTCGGATTCTTCATCATTCTCTATAACATCATCATTCCATTCCAAAGTTCCAAAGTCACCACTCTTTAACTCAGCTTTTTCCCTTTTCACCATCATTTCATAATCCCAAAAATGTAGTGCATGTATTTGTCTTTTTTCATTCTTATCATTTCTCATAAACTCCAAATAAGCTAGCTGTTTATGTAAACAAAATTATGATTAATTAGTTTTCTTATAATAATATAAATAAAAGTGTTAATTATAAGAATTTTCCTTACCAATAATACAAGAAGTGACCCACAATAGTAGTTTCCTCTATCGGTTTCATCCCGTTTCGTCTTTGACATTTTCAAGCAATTGGTTATAAAACCACACCAGTCAATTTCTCTCATAGGTGTTTTGCCTAACAAATGTGGCAATACTGTTGTCTTACAAGTTCCAGGCTTATTCTGTTCACAAATGGTATTAACAAACAGTAATACAAAGTTTGTTCTGAAAATAATCCCTGAATCTGATGATTCTTTAATTTTCTCTTCAACATCCGATGGTCTCATAGCCTTGAAATTGTATTGTTGCTTCCAGTCCATTAATTCTTTTCCTTCACATTGATCAGTGTTATATATATCTTTTCCACCTAGAGGAATTCCAAGCAAATCATGAACAAGTTCTGGTGTTATGTCTATCTTTGCATTTTGGTAGATGAATTTTCATATCTGATGGATTGAATGAATTCACAACAAAACGTGCCAATTTCCCAGAAATTCCATTGGTTGCAATTCTCAACAAAGATCCCAATCCCATTTCTCTAACAACTTTTCTCTGTTCTTTGTTTATAGATTTAACAATATCATAAAACTTCTTTGGGCTCATTCTTGTTCTCAAAGATACTCTTGTCATTTGGATTTATTGGCACTTTTGCCTTTTTTTTCTTTGACTACTTCCATAGTCTTTGTTTTTCTTTTTCTTTTTCCTGTTAGTCAATAATTTTCATAAGCTTCTCATAATATAACATATATAATATAAAATAACTAACAATACAAGAAATTCACATGTGAATTTGTTTTGCAAAATATAATATAATACATAAAATAAACATGTGAATTTGTTTATAACTTTGTAAATTAAACATGTGAATAGTAATAAACAAACCTGTTATTTTTTCATCAGATTCTTTCTTTACAAGGCTATCTTCAACTTTAATAGGAGTCACAGATTTTTTGTATTCAATCATTTTAAGTCTTGGACTCTGTCTGATTTCTGTTCATGTTCCTAACAAATTTATAAAGAATTAATTTTATAATACCAAATTCAATTATAATTTTATAAATACTAACCTTGAGTTGTTTTCTTTTCAGGTGTCTTGAAAACAGATTTTTCTTGCTTCATCGACTTTTTCGTTTTTGTTTTATGTAATCTTGGACTCTGTCTGATTTCTGTTTATTTAAAAAAAAAATTAAAGATAATTGATTTTATATATTATAGAAAATTATAATTTTATAAATACTAACCTTGAGTTGTTTTCTTTTCAAGTGTCTTCAAAACAGATTCATCTTGCTTCATCATTTTTTTTGTTTGCTTTTTTTGAATCTCATCATCTTCTAAAATTTTTTCTTTTTCAACATTTTCTTCAATAGTCTTTTCATCTTCATTTTTTCTTAACTTATTAACTATTTCCACCACGGTTCTCCTTGTTGTGTTTTTGGTATATTTTTTTGAACCTTCAACTACATAATGTGAAATTTTTAATATGAATGACAAAAATATAAGTAGTATTAATACATGTCAAACAATATAAAACTGAACATGTGATGATCAAATTGCAAAAACTTTTTAGCAATTCACATTGTGAATCTGTTAGGCTATGAGCTATATTCAAGATTCACATTGTGAATTTATGCATTTAACAGCAAAAGAGTTTGAGGTTCACCAAATGATGTACACATACACATGGTGAATTTTTACAATTACATTAAGCATAGTGAAATACAAACAAAAGTATTGATCAACTTGCAAAAAAAATATGTTTTTAAGAGATTCACATTGTGAATCTGTTTGAATGTGAGATACACATCCAAGATTCACATTGTGAATTTATGCATTTAATAGAAAAAGAGTTTTTACAATTACAATTTGTGCATACTGAATACAAACAAAAGTGTTGATCACCTTGCAAAAAAAAACATTTTTTTAACAGATTCACATTGTGAATCTGTGTGAATGTGAGATACACATCCAAGATTCACATTGTGAATTTATGCATTTAATAGCAAAAGAGTTTGAGGTTCACCAAGCGATATACACATACACATTGTGAATTTTTACAATTACTTTGTGCATAGTGAATACAAACAAAAGTGTTGATCAACCTTGCAAAAAAAAACATTTTTTTAACAGATTCACATTGTGAATCTGTGTGAATGTGAGATACACATCCAAGATTCACATTGTGAATTTATGCATTTAACAGCAAAAGTGTTTGAGTTTCACCAAATGATGTACACATACACATGGTGAATTTTTACAATTACATTGTGCATAGTCAAATACAAACAAAAGTGTTGATCAACTTTCAAAAAAAATATGTTTTTAAGAGATTCACATTGTGAATCTGTTTGAATGTGAGATACACATCCAAGATTCATATTGTGAATTTATGCATTTAATAGCAAAAGAGTTTGAGGTTCACCAAGTGATGTACACATACACATGGTGAATTTTTACAATTACATTGTGCATAGTCAAATACAAACAAAAGTGTTGATCAATTTGCAAAAGAAAAAAAAAACATTTTTTTTAACAGATTCACATTGTGAATCTGTGTGAATGTGAGATACACATCCAAGATTCACATTGTGAATTTATGCATTTAACAACAAAAGAGTTTGAGGTTCACCAAGTGATGTGCACATACACATGGTGAATTTTTACAATTACATTGTGCATAGTCAAATACAAACAAAAGTGTTGATCAACTTTCAAAAAAAAATATGTTTTTAAGAGATTCACATTGTGAATCTGTTTGAATGTGAGATACACATCCAAGATTCACATTGTGAATTTATGCATTTAATAGCAAAAGAGTTTGAGGTTCACCAAGTCATGCACACATACACATGGTGAATTTTTACAATTACATTGTGCATATTCAAATACAAACAAAAGTGTTGATTAACTTGCAAAAGAAAAAAAAAACATTTTTTTAAAAGATTCACATTGTGAATTTTTGTGAATGTGAGATACCCATCCAAGATTCACATTGTGAATTTATGCATTTAACAGCAAAATAGTTTGAGGTTCACGAAGTGATGTACACATACACATGGTGAATTTTTACAATTACATTGTGCATAGTCAAATACATACAAAAGTGTTGATCAACTTCCAAAAGAAAAAAAAAACTTTTTTTAACAGATTCACATTGTGAATCTGTGTGAATGTGAGATACACATCCAAGATTCACATTGTGAATTTATGCATTTAACAGCAAAAGAGTTTGAGGTTCACCAAGTGATGTACACATACACATGGTGAATTTTTACAATTACATTGTGCATAGTCAAATACAAACAAAAGTGTTGATCAACTTGCAAAAAAAATGTTTTTAAGAGATTCACATTGTGAATCTGTTTGAATGTGAGATACACATCCAAGATTCACATTGTGAATTAGTTTTTTTTAATAAGTGTGTAGTGTATGATTAGATAATTAGTTATTTTAATCTGAATGCAAATGTTCTAACCTTTTTTTTTATCTTGAATATCTTCAATTTTTTCACTTGTAGTTGAAGGTAGAACATCTTTTAGACTTCTTGTCAATTTCATTCTTTTCTTATTATCCTTTTTTTCATTGATCTTTTCTTCATTTCCTGTTTTTGATTAACAAATTAATTCAAACATCAATTTCATGGTATGAAAGTTATGATTTATTCACATTGTGAATTCAGTTTGAATCAAAACATTACCAATGCAACTCTTTATAAATTTACAATGAGAAGCACAATAAGAGATACAATATGAATTAAACATAGATACACAATGTGAATTTCACAAGATGAAAAAATCAAATGTAAATGATAAATCACCCTGTGAATTCACAATTTGAATAAATGATATGTTAAATTGATATATATCATGATTCACTTTGTGAATTGTCAAATAATATAATACTCAGAAACATTGAATCCTTTCAAAATAATCAAATGTAAATCACAAAGCACACTGTGAATTCAAAATGTGAAATTAGTTTTTCAGTTTAATGAATAAATTCAGAAACCACTTAGATTCACAAAGTTTTTAGGAAATTACGGTTTGTAATTTAGATATTCATGATTTCTGTATCGATTTGAAGAAATTTATATCATTAGGTTTTTGGTAATTATACGAATTCTCAAAAGTTCATGAAATTAGGGTTTCGATTTACTTAATAAACTCATATTCGAGTTAGATTCACAAAGTTTTAGGAAATTTCAGTTTGTAATATAGATATTCATTAGGTTTTCGTTATGTATACAAATTATTAAAAGTTCATCATCCGACGAGGGTTTCAAATCAGTCTAAAACGATTTTGTTAATAAAATAGTGTATTAACAGATTCATCGAATACATAATGTAACAAATAGTTTAGATTTGTCGTTTTGAAATTTATCAATCGAAAAAATATAATGTTGAAAATGGATTAAATGAGATAATCAAAAGTGAATAGCAGTCAAATATACCTTCTAGATTCATTTTGACGAACTTTTCGGGAAGATTCACTGTGGATATTGATTGAATCGTCGTCGGAGATTCGTTTGAAATCGATGTCGTCGGTGGAGTAAAAGATCGCTTTCAATGAGAGGGTAAAATCGATTTCACTGAATTGAAACTGATGAACTAACGACGTTAATTAACAGTGAGAGTTAAAAAGTTTTAGTTTGACGACAATGCCCCCTTAAGTTACGTGTTTGGTTATAATCAGCTGCACGCTATTGTTTTTCATACTTTTACATCTCAAATCCAATGGCTGTTAATATTTTGATCCAACCATCTTAATAGGTTCCTTGGTTCCTCCACCCATATTGGTTCTTTATTGAACCCGTCCATATATATTATATATATATATATATATATATATATATATATATATATATATATATATATATATATATATAAAAGCATTTAGCATGTTTTGCTGAATTTTAAGAGGTATAACCCTTAAGGCATCATATACAACAACGTTATGCATCGCCGAAATAATCGTTCTTATCCGGTGTGAATCAGTCAAAGTCGTTTGAACTAACATTCTCTCAATTTCAGCCAATTGAATCTCAATTTCAGCCGATTGAATCGATCAAAACAAACTTAAACCCATATTATATAGCACACCCCATCGTCTCAGCCACTAACATCGAATTTATTGATTTCATCTCTTCCTAATTTATATTTTTACTTGATTTTCAGGACTCCGGTGATGTCGATGCCACCATCCCCGTCCTCTGCTCCAGTCTTCACTCTCCAAGTAAGATTTCAGCTTCCCATCACTTTCTTTCTCGCAATCCTTACCTTGAACTGGTGTGCCCTTCTCCTCTCTACCCCACCTCCATTGCGCCACCAGTAAACCATCGCCCCTCTGAAAACCCTAGAGACCACCGTCTCCAACACCACTCATCCCTCTCTGAAAACCCTATACACGAAATTTACCATCGTCTCCTCTAACAGTTCCCACTGTCGTCTCCTATAACCTGGTATGTTTGTGATTAAAGGTTCGATTTCCTTTTTTTCCCTATTTTTACATCAAATTCGAAATGAGCAGTTTGTTTTTGTTTTTGTTATTCATTAGAATGTTGATGGAAGTGTAACAATCGTATCAAACAATGGCAATTGAAGAGGTGTCAATGGACTAAAACATTGGATCTGTTAAAGCCCTACAGGTTTAGTTAATTTGATTTCTCTTCTTCCTTACCTCCTTACTATTAGCCACCTTATCACCACCTACAAACCCACCACTCTTTGTAGCCAATGATTTGATTCAGGCCTTTAGTTCAGATCAAGTTTACAAATATAAAAATTCATTATGATAAGTATGTTCCTGTTGTCTCTTTTTGAATCTGAAAAATATGAAAAGTTCGCATTATTGAAAAAAACTAAGCTTGATTTTAAAAGATTTCATTGATTGGTGTCTTTTTCCAATTTGATTTCATATAGTAACCAGGTCCCTCGTGTTATAGAAAATAACTTGCAACCAAATTCTACTAACAAGTCATAACATATTATTTGTTACAGATACTGTAATTGTTGCAATTGATCCACAGAAAACCAACATTCTCAAAAGCCAAAAGGTAAATCAGATTGGCAAATGTGCATAACTATAAACTGAATCACATTCTCTGATGCCACCACATCTGACACTACTACATATGTGATGTATTGGTGGATATAATAAAATTGATGCTTACTGTATTTTCTCATCTACAAATTCATGTCAAGATTCTAGATATCCATGTGAAGATGAAGCGTATACAAGGTAAGGTTTTTGTAGTGATTTTAGGATATGTGCTAAAATGAAGGTCAATTTTTTTTTTACTG